TGAATCAATTGCTCATTCCTGTTTATTGCCATGTAGTATTCTAATCCATGATTACACCACAATTTGTTGATACAATTTCCTGTTGAAGAACAGAAGATGAAGAACCGAAGATTTGGGGCTGGGTGTGGCAGCTCACACCTGTAATCCCAGCACTTTGGGAGGCTGAGGTGGGTGGATCGCCTGAGGTCAGGAGTTCGAGACCAGCCTGGCCAACATGGTAAAACCCTGTCTTTACTAAAAATACAAAAAACTAGCCGGGTGTGGTGGCACGCATCTGTAATCCCGGCAACCGGGGAGTCTGAGGCAGGAGAATTGCTTGAACCCAGGAGGCAGAGGTTGCAGTGAGCCCAGATTGTGCCACTGCACTCCAGCCTGAGTGACAGAGTGAGACCCTGTCTCAAAAAAAAAAAAAAAGATTTGGATCATCTCCAGTGTTTTGCTTTAATGAGTAATGCTGCTGAGAACACTCATTGTATGTCTTTCCGTAGACATACATATTTCTCTTGCATAAATAACTAAGAGTGGAAACAACAGATTGTATGGTAAGTCCATATTTAATTATGTAACAATACCAAGCCGTTGGCTTCAGAAGCAGCATCATTTTGCACTCTTATTAAAAGAGCACAGAGTTCCAGTTGCTCCATCTCCTCACCAACATCTGACATTGCCAGTTTTCTCCAATTTTAACCGTTTTAGTGGGTGTGAAGAGGAATTTTATTATAGTTTTAATTCAAATTTCCCTAATGACTAATGATGTTGAGCACCTTTGCATGTGCTTCTTGGCCAGTTGCATTGGATTCCTCTAATTGTAGAAATACCTACCTGTAAGAGAGACACTCACGAAGGGGGTGGAAACCTCTTTCTTTAAAGATACATTTTATTTCGTAATACGTAATAACAATTCAACAACAAACATTATTCCAGAAGGATCAGGTGAAACAAAAATTATGGTTTTGAAATGTCAAAACCCATAAACTCTTTGGTTCAAAGTAATTAGCTATGTGTCTTTGGACAAGCTACCCAGCCTCTCAATTTCCTCATTTCTAAGGTGAGAACAACGTTAGTAACTACCCCAGAATGTTATGAGATTTAAAGGACTTTACTACAGTGCTTGGAGGATTGTTATTGCTCAGTAAATGTTAACAACAATAATAATAATATCAATAATTGGCTCAGTTGTTATGTACTTCAATATTTAAAAAAACCTATAAAATAGCATAAGCTTCTGTCCACACAAAATTTTGCACACAAGTGTTTATAGCAGCTTTTTAAATAGCTGACAAAAGCTGGAAATTACCAAGATGTTCTTCGGTAGGTGAATAGATAAACTGTGTTGTAGCCATATGATATTATTTAGCAATGAAAAGAAATGAGCTATCAAGATATGAGAAGACATGGAGAAACCTTAAATGCATATTGCTAAGTGAAAGAAGCCAATCTGAAAAGGTCACATCCTGTATGATTCCACTACATGACATTCTGGAAAGGACAAATCTCTAGACGGTGAAAAGATAAGTGATTGCCAGAGGTTAGGGAGGAGGGAAGGATGAATAGACAGAACTCGGAGGATTTTTAGGGCAGTAAAGCTGCTCTGTATGATACTGGAGTGGTGGATACATGACATTATGCATTTGGCAAAGCCCATGTAATGCACCTCACTAAATGTGAACCTTAATGTGAACTGTGGACCTTAATTAAAAATAATGTATCAATATGGGCTCATCAGTTGTAACAAATGTACCACACTGAGGCAAGATATTAAAAATAGGGGAAACTAAGCAGGGGAGCAAGGAGATGAAGTGTTTCAGAGCTTTCTGTACTTCTCAAATGTTCTATAAACCTAAAACTGCTCTAAAGAATAGTCTATTAATAAAAAAGCAAGTGAAGAAAAAAAAAACATTTTTACTTGAAAATGTTTAAATTAAATGTTTCTTCTTAGTTTGAATCACGTTTTTCCCGTGTGTGTGTGTGTGTGTGTGCGTGTGTGTCGTAAACTTTAACCTAAAGACAAATTATGAGATAGTTTTTATTTTCAAACCAGCGAGAATGCAACAGGTATGTGGGTGATCATATTTATATCTATATCATCTATAACTATCTATATCTATATCTATCATCTATCTCTATCTAATCTCTCTATCTTTGTGTTGTAGTTCAGTATAGCCCACATTTTAATGAGCAGAGGAGTCATTGGGCATCCTGTTAAAATGTGGACACCAATTAAGCAGGTCTGGGTGGGATCTGAGATTCCACATTTCTAACAAGCTCTCAGGGATGCCACTGATGCTGGTCCACAAACATTTTAAGTAGCAAGTGTGTAGACAAAAGCAACTGAGTGTGTGGAGCCTGACTCAGGTAGGGAACGTTATGTCATCATCTCAGCCAAGCCCTAGCACTGAATGTGTCTGTTTGTCTGCTGTGTGGAAAGACTGCAGGCTGTAACTTCAGTAAGATTTGTCTAAGTACCGAAGACTTTGCCCATAAGAACTGGTTTGCAAGCCCAGCTATTACTTTTTTTGGACCTTACCACAGTCAGTTAGGGCCACAGTAATGCTGAGTAACAAACCACTTAAAAACTCAGAGGATTAAAATGAGCAGAATTTATTCTCATGGGTCTACATGGTAATTTCCTGCTTGGCTGATTTAGGTCAGCTCCACGCATGTCTCATCCTCCCTGGACCAGCAGCTCCCTAGGGCATGATCTTGTCATGGCCATGGCAGAAGCACAAGCATGAAAGCCCCACTGCACAAGGACATTTCAAGCCTCTGCTTACATCACGTCCGATAACATCCCGCCGGCCAAAGCAAACCCCATGGACACAGCCACCTTCATAAGGGTGGCGAATTTTGCTCCACTTACAGTGAAGCCATGGAAAGGTTATGGATGAATAATCCTACTACAGGTGTAATGGATTAAGACCTGTAATTTGACCTATCACAGTCTTTGCATCAACAGAGTAAGAGGTGAAATTCTACTTCGATAAGAGCCTCACCCACAGTAATACATGCCATTCCCTGAAGCCATATGAAATACAAAAAAATTGTTCACCATTGCCTCTGAACAGGTTTCCTGTTGCTGCTGTCACTGCAGTCAAGCTATAGGACATTCCCATTATACTAGAAAGTCCCTGAAAATCCCCCAACCCTCTGTCCCAGGCAACCTTGAATCTGCCTTCTGCCTTCTATCATTATAGATTAGTTTGCTGCTTCTAGAACTTCATAGAAACGGAAGCAAATGGTATGTAGTCTTTTGTGTCTTCCTGCTATATGCTGTTTGAGTCCATTTATTTTCTGATGTAATGGGGCCAGAGACATGCCATCCTAAAGCAGATTTTGGTGATCCTTGGGTATGGCAGGCATTACTGATACACCACCCATACCCTGCCCCCAACACAGTGGTGCCCACAGCCTGGCTCCCAGCTGGCTGCACTTGCCCCAGGGCTTTCTCTGGCCATTGACACCTGCCTTGTTCCCATCTCTGTATGCTGGAATTAATGTCCTGGGAGCAGTGGCTGATGGAGTGGGTGGATAAGTCCCAGCTCCTCTGTCCCTCATGGGAGTGGGGTTAACTTGTCTTACATGAGTTTCCTAGAGTTTTCCTGCAAGATTAAACTCCAGTGGCCCAGGGTAACTTCTTGAGTACACACCCTCTATTGGCTGGTTTCCCTTCTCCATCTCACTTCTGCATTCCCCCAACTTCATCTCACAAATAAACTACTTTGAATTCATATCTCAGGTTCTCTGTCTGGGGCGTACAAAAAAGATTCCAGGAAATGATGTAAGTTTCAGACAGGAGGCTGCTGGCTGTTGAGTGTGCAGAATGGGGATCCTGACATGCTACCTCACTGTCTTCTTCCCTAAGCAGTTATTATCATCTCTTCTCATAGTTGGATTTTTAAACTTGTGTGCATCTTCTCTTGCCCATGTTCTGAGTTTCTGGGAGCAGGGATCATGTGTCTGCCCTTCTCTGTATCCCATGCAGGCTCCAGCTCATTATGTTGGGCATGATTGGTACTTACCAACCCACAATTGAACCATCAATCCTGTGAGTATTTCTGGGACCCAGGCCAGACCCCAGCATTGTTAAAAATGTGGCTGGACTCAGCAGGGGCCAGGGAAGTGGGTGATGGTCCTACTGGAAACCAGATGGCCCACAGAACAAAGATTTTAGCCTTCAGAGGTGTTCATAAAAGTTGATTTCCCATCTTTGTCGACACGCAGAAGGTGTGATGTCTTCTCCATGTGGAGATCCTGGTTTATGCCTCTGGTCTTTGGGTCTTTGACAGAGACACTTTCAGGCCTTCCTCCAGGGACTCATGGTGACAGCCCCATGCTGCCAGGAAGCAGCCTTCCACCTGATGAGTGAAGAAGAAACCCCACCTCCTGCTTGTTCATGCTTCTCCACACACTGCAGATGGCTCCATGCTCAAGGCAACTGGGGGCTGTGGGCCACATGGCGTTCAGATACTTAGTACTAAAATGTGCTATATTCAGGTGTGTGCATTGGTCCACTCTCAGCAAATGTACACTTAAGATTTGTGCATTGCTTTGTGTGTAAATTTTATATTAAAAACTAAACAAATATTGAACTGTAGTAAATGCTTTGCATGCTCAAGTGTTTGGGGTCTACTGATACCTTTAATTTACTTTGAAACAGAAAAATAAGATAAAAATAAGATGGAGAGCTTCAAACAAGTGCAATATAATGCAACGATAAGATATTGGTGAATATTTGAGTGTTCACTGTAGAAATCTTTCAACTTTGCAAAATGTGCCTAAAACTTTTGGAAAAATTGTATTCAATTAAAAAACCACAGAGTGAGTGCATGCTCATTACAAACAAAAGCAGAATACATAAAGTAAAAGGTGAAAGTCCTTTCCTTCTCCCCTCACTGCATCTGAGAGCCAGGTGCAGGCACATTGTCTGAGGCCCCAGGGCAAGGGTAAACTTGGTAACATAGATTTGTTCCCATTCAGGGGATGGGGCTGGATGACACTTCTTAATCCCCTTCCCCCATTCTGTTAGACCCATCTGCCAGCCCGACACCTGTGAGTGAATACAACTGCCCAGGTGCTGGGTTGGCAGGTGGGAGATGGATCTGTAAACTTTCAGAAAGAAAGCCCCCAGGCACATTTTGTTGCCAATGAGGAGGTTGGCAAAAGGGGAAATGACCTTTGATTATTGAAATGTAATGACACCAAAGCTCTCTAAAATGATGGGGTTTCTCCTTGTGGCCTTCCAAGGAGCAAGGGAAGAGGCTGTGGGTACCTGTGGTGGGCATTTGTCGCTGTGTAACACCCTTTTCTTTCCTGTTACCCCAACTCCAATTCTGTCCAAGGGATGGGGAGCCCTGCCCAGGGGTGTGAATCTTGATGGGCATGTGATTCAGTCCTTGCCAATGAGACCAGTGGAGGCCTTGGTACCTTTTCTTTCTGGTAAGCGATAGGTCCAAGGAGAGGCCTTTTTTTGTCCCTTTGGCTTAGGATGCTGTCTTGTGAGGATGTGATGGAAGGAGCCATGGCAGCCCAGCAGATGTGAAGTGACAAGCTGGGGACCAAAGGCAACACACTGAGGACGGTAGAATACAAGAGTGGACACAGCACAGAGATCTTGGCTGACCTCTCCAAGACACTGAAAAACCCAATATTCAGACCTTGGAGGGCTTGTTATAACTCTGATTGCTGGCATGATGGTTCACTTTATGTGTCAACTTGACTGGGCCATGGGATCCCCAGACCAGGGGTAAAACATTATTTCAGAGAGTGTCCATGGAAGTATTTCTAGAAAGAGGGGACCACATTTGAATTGGTGAACTGAGTAAGGCAGATGGCCCTCCCCAATGTGGGAGGCATCATCCCATCTACTGAGGGTCTTCATAGGATAAAAAGTCAGGGAAGGTGGAACTCACCCTCTCTACAGGCCTGATAGGTGGATTTTCTCCTGCCTTTGGACATCTGGGCTCCTGGTCTTCAGGACTTACACCAACCCCCATCGTCCTCCAGTCCAGGCCTTCGGACCTGGAATGAATTACACCCCCTGGCTGTGTCCCTCGTTTGCATGTGGGACTTCTTGACCTCCAAAACCATGTGACCCAGTTCCTATAATAACTCCTTTTATCTCTCTCTCTCTCTATGTCATATTGGTTCTTTTTTCTTTGGAGAATCCTGATGAATACAGCAGGGTCCCATCCCCAGAGTTTTTGATTCAGCAGATCTGGTGTGGGGCCTGAGAATGTGCATTTCCAAAGAATCCCTAGGTGGAGTTGATGCCACAGGCTTGGGGACCCCACTCTGGGACCACTGAATTGAACCATCATTAATTTTTATGGTAGTGGTTGTTACTTGAAGCTAAAAGCAGCCTACTTAATAAAATGGCTTTGCAATTTTTTATTTTTAAATTTTAATTTATTTGTATTTTTTAGGGAACAGATCTCTATGCCTCTCACATTCCTTTAAAGCATTTGAAGAATTCAGAAACGAAAAGCTACAAATCTGCCAGGACCAGATTCTTGGGTCTGAATGGCAACCAAAGGGGAAAGAATCTCAACAAGGCAGAGGAAGATTGTGTCCACTTAGAGGCGGCGTGTTTTCAAGACGCCCATGGCGTGGCAGTCAAGGTAGGAGAAGCAGCCTGCCACGGTGCAGATAACAAGGCAGCGGTACCTGTTGAGAATTTAAATAATAAAACTGACTAGACATTGTGTCTACTTTTATGATTTCTATTGGCGGACAATTCTAAACAATGTCATTGGGGAAGTGCTCCCTCGAGTCCTGGTGTGTTTTGGATTCTTATGTATGAGCTGTGGAACTGCGTTCCCCTCTGACACACTGTGGCAGGAGAATGAAAGCCCCATTGGGGACCTGCCTGAGTAATTTAGAGGGGACAACGCTGTCCTTGAGGAAAATGAGATATGGGCAGTGGTGGGGCTCCGTTCTCTGTTGGCTGCTTATAGTGAACTTGCTAGGGAACTCTTGCCCTCCTCATTTTAAAATCGCTGTGCTGATGTTGTCCATACCTGGTGACCTCATGGCAAGAACATGGTTTTGGAAGACAGGGCTTTGTTTAACTGCTCGACATTGATAACACCAGCTCATCCATCTTTGCAAATGTACTTTGAAGCCTTTTTCATTCTTCTGCATAATTCCCAGAAAGGACAAAGTTTCCAGCAACTCCATATAATGGAACTTTGCTTACACGTAAGAGCAGTTTGGTGTAGGAAAGATACAGGCTCCAACTTGATGAAGCTCCCTATGGCCAAATCTGAGACAATTTAGCAAGAAAATAAACAATGATAATAATAGATGATGACCCGCAGAATAAACAAATACCCACAAATTCATGCTGAGATAAATAAATGATTGAACAAATAAAGAAACGGGAGAGAAGAGGGTGCTTTCCCTTAGAGCAGAATTCCAGTTATTAAACCTCAAGGGAGTAAGAAACATAGAAAACGACTGCTAGGCCTACATCACACTGATTGCTGCAGGGGTGGGCCATGGATGGATGCGACAGAAGTGGGCCAGAGGATGATGCAAAACAGGCCATTTGCAAGGTCTCGAGGCTCCTCCCCCAAAGATGTTAATCACAAAGGGAAAAACAGCAACTCCGCAGTACAGAAGCCTGAAGGAGCCGCTTTAGCCAAGTGATCAAGGACGACATCGACAGAAATGGGACGTAACATCATGAACCTCTGCTATGGCACGGTGGGAAAAGCACAGGTCACCTTTGTGGTATTCTTGTCCCAAAGGCATAACCTCCACCTAACCAGGAGAAAGCATCAGGCAGTCTTCAAAGAAGGGACATTTTGGAGAATAACTGGCCAGTATTCAAGTGTCAAGGTAACGATGGACAAAGACCGAAGAGCCGTCCCAGACTGCGAGGCACTAGGGAGACCTGAAACCAGATGGATATGGCCTCATATGGTCTGTAGATTACTTAGTAGTCATGAACCAATGCGAATTTCTCAGATTAGATCACTGTATTGTGGTTATAGAAGATGTTAGTTTTTGGGAAAGCTGGGAGCAGGTTAAACAGGTACTATTTTTGCAAACTTTTTATAAGGCTGAAATTATTTCAGAATAAAAGGTAAAGAAATAAACAGGTGGACTTTGGAGTCATTCTGCCTCTCTTCAAATCTGGCTACACTACTTGCTAACTGTATGACATTGGGCAAGTTACTTCATTTCTCTCCTCAGTTTCCTTATTTGTAAAATGGGGATAAAAAGAATACCTATCTGGGAGGCTGAGGCAGGTGGATCACTTTAGCCCAGGAGTTTGAGACCAACCTGGGCAACATGGTGAAACCCCATTTCTACAAAAAGTACAAAAATTAGCAAGGTGTGGTGGCGCTTGCCTGTATTCCCAGCTACTTGGGAGACTGAGGTGGGAGGATCAAATGAACCCAGGAGGCGGAGGCTGCAGTGAGCAGAGATCGCACCACTGTCATGCAGCCTGGGTGACCGAGCGAGACCTTGTCTCAAAAAAAAAAAAAAAAGTTACCTATCATAGGGGGTTGTAATGAGAGTTAAATGTGCAGTACTTAGAACTCTGCACCTTGGCCCAGCGTAAGGGCTATACTATTATGTGTAATTATCAGAGGAGACTGGCAGCATCTTCTGATCTTAGGGACATTTACTCTCTCTGTGTGTGTCTCACTGTGCTTCTGGAAAGTTTCTGATGCAGGCCCCTGGGCTGATTCCTTCTCCAATTGATTACTCTGGCCTAAAAGCATTTCCCTTTCTACCAGCAGCCAGATAAAGCCAAATTCAGTGTCAGGATCTGTAGTATTACCTTAACTTAAGTATTACCCACTTAATGGGACTTAAGTATTACCCACTTTTAGAGGAATAAGAATAACTTCTGTCTCACTTAGGGTTTCACCGAGGAGATGTCTGCATTGGAAAGACAGAGTTCATGTCACCAAAGAAGCTTCTGGGGCCAGTTTCCCTTATCCCCATTGCAGCGGGCAGACCTTTTGGGCTTGCAGGACCAACATCCCTGATTGGTTTGGGAGGGGGGTGTGTGTGTGGATCTGCCTCACAATGGCCTGTCTGAGCCCTTATCTGATGTCACACGTTAGCATTTGTTTGGCCAATAAGATGCTAGCACACACACCAGCTTCAGTCTCCACTTGGCCTTACCTTTGACGTCACAATCTGACCTGTGGGTATTAATCTGGTCACAGCTGCTCATGGACCAGATGGCAAGGTCCGGGGACTAGCACAGGAAGATGTGGAAGAGAAGTGGCCATCAACCCAAGATCAAAGCAGAGGATGGACCTCTGGCTGGCCAATTCGAGGTTCTGGGTTCAGTTCCAGAACCTGCCATGCCACATCCTCTAGAGCTGTCAGAACTCGAGAGCTTCTCGGTGTTTGAGGACATTAGGCTTCACATCAGGGAAGTGGGAGCTCACTTGGTCAAGAAAGTCAATGCCATCTTTCAGCTGGACATCACCAAAGATGGGAAGATCATTCTGCAGTGGACCATTGATCTGAAGAATGGTTCTGGGGACATGTATCCGGGACCTGCCAGGCTCCCAGCAGACACTGTCTTTACAATCCCGGAGCCCGTCTTTATGGAGCTGGTTTTGGGCAAAATGAACCCACAGAAGGCTTTCCTTGCTGGCAAGTTCAAAGTGAGTGGCAAGGTTCTGCTTAGCCAGAAGCTGGAAAGGGTTTTCAAAGACTGGGCTAAATTTTAAGCATGCAAAAATACCAAGGAAGAACTTCGCTTCGATGATAATGTCGAGTGGAAATCATGCTTAATCTGAAGATTAAAGTAAAAAGTATCCAATATTTTTACTCAAATTCTTCCTATTCAAGTTTAATTGATTTTCCTGCAGATGGGTAAATTTTCAGGGAGGGTTCTGAAGCAGTAAAAAGTGTTGCAGTGCATCAATTAGAATCTTTGTCTTTTTCTTTTCTTTTTTTTTTTTTTTTAAGCTTCATTTATGCTCTTTATGCTCCATTTATGCCAGGGTGAGAGCCACATGTAGAGAGATGGGTGATTATGATCATTGGAATTAAATACTCCAATGATGGTGTTCTTGAGACATTTTCCCCTTTTTTAAAAAAAGTTTAATGTTTTGGAGAAAGAAGTGATAACCATCATTGCGCAGGTGTGCATTCCGCATGGTAACTTGATTCCATGAGGAAACTTTACTATGAGATTGTGGGGAGCTAAGCAAATTGGGCACCCCAGGTCTGTGGGTGGAACCCAGGCAACAGAGGGGATGGTGCTCTTGGTGTATTATAACTTCTGATGGTTTCAATTCCAGGATACTTGAAGGGCTTGGGAGGTGTTCTAGGCCAGTGGTTCTTAACTGGAGCATGCATCAGAATCGCCTGGAAGGTTGGTTAAAGTCTGGATTGATGGGCTCCATCTCAGAGCTTCTACTCAGGAGATCTGGGCTGGAGAGAATGCACATTTCTAACAAGTTCCCAGGTGACGCTGATGGCACCACCCTTAGAGAATTCCAGCTCTGCTTCACTTCATGCCAAAGCCCTCAGTATTGACTCTAACTATTCTATTCTAGGCCAATGAGATGGTGCCATTAGTTAAAGGATCTCCCAGAGCCAGATTCCACAGCCCTGTGTGAGCCATCTCTAAAGTATCCATGCTGTCAGGAGCTTGTGTGTTGAACATTTTACAAAATCAGAGGGCAGCCTGGGAGATTTCCCCTCCGGAAGCTCCCTTCACATGTTGTCTGGGAGAACAGAATGAAGTCCGATGCAGCTGATGCAACTCCTTGTGGGTGAGCGTGTGTGTGTTCTTGGCTCACATGTGGTTTGTGTGTACTTTTAACTTGTGGGCTAAATATACACAGCGCGGACACGCCGAAACCTAGAGGAATGTTTCATCACAACTGCCATGCTCAAACACCTACACAGTGTGGACGCTCTGAAACCTGGGCGGCAGTTTCATCACAACTGCCGTGCTCAAATACATGCCTACCGAATGATCCCGCCATTCTGTTCTTGGGTATCTTGTCAAGAGATAAGAAAGCATATGTAAATGTATAAAATAAACACTCGCATGCATGTGACTGTTCATGGCAGCTGTGTTGGGAGTAGTCCTAAACTGGAAACAAGCCACATGTTCATCAACAGGTGAATGGGTGGACAAATGGTGCGGTGTCATACCATGGAATATTACTTAACCACGAAAAGGAAGAAATGATTGGCGTACACACAAACAACAATGTCGATAAATGACAAAATAATTATGCTGAGTGAAAGAAGCCAGAGAAGACTGAGCACATACCATACGATTCGATTTATATTAAATACTGGAAAATGTAACCTGTAGTGACAGAAAAAAAAAAAAAAAGATTAGTGGTTGCCAAGAAACAAGAGCATGGGGAAATGGGGAAGGATTATGACAAATGTCATGAGGAAACTTGGGGGTAGTGGGTATATTCATTATCTTAATTGTGGTGATGTTTTCCCAGGTCAAAGCATCATCTTGTGCACTGCATATAAACACATGCAGTTTGTTATGTGTCATATAAGCTAATTGCGTTGTTTTTAAGAACCTGCCACCCTCCCTTAGAAATAAGGCTTTTGTGTGGCTGTGTTCCTGAAGAGGAAGGATCCTCAACTCTCCCCTTCTCTCAGCAAGATGAGCCCTCTCACCTCGTCTTGGTTTAGTGTTCAGCTCCTGACTGATTTGGATAGTTCTGCAGAGGCCTTCCTCCATTTCATATTAGACAAAGGCAGAGTGAGAACTTGTTGCTTACCAAATATCATCCTCTCTGTGGGAAAGGAAGAGACCATTTGTCCTGAGAGTGCTTTACTCCAGGGTTAGACATTGCTAAGGGGATGGGCATGGACCTAGTGCACATCCTGGCTTCTTCTCTCACGTGCGTCATTAAAGGGGTGATCTGCATCTTGTTCCTGTCAGTGCCCCCAGCCTGTGAATGTCTCAGAGGCTTCCAGTGGATTCTGAGCTCTGTTGTGAGCACTCAGCTCCACCGGCCCAGGCCACTCCCATTCAACCATGTTTGAGTGTCAGACATGGGGCCGGCAGGTGTTTGGGGTGCCATTGTGCCACATTCCTTTTCTCTTCTTCTTTAGTTTTTTGTGACAAAGTCTCGCTGTTGTGCCCCAGGCTGGAGTGCAATGGCGTGACCTCTGCTAACTGCAACCTCCACCTCCCAGGTTCAAGCAATTCTCCTGCCTCAGCCTCCCTAGTAACTGGGATTACAGGCGCCTGCCACCAAACCCAGCTCATTTTTGTATTTTTAGTAGAGACGCGATTTCACCATGTTGGCCAAGCTGGTCTTGAACTCCTGACCTCAGGTGATCCGCCCGCCTCAGCTTCCCAAAGTACTGGGATTACAGGCTTGAGCCGTCATGCCCGGCCGTGCCACATTACTTTTAAAGAGAAATGGCTCACCTAAGCCCCTACTACCTGGGATACTTGCTCATACCATGTGTTAATCGTAGCCTCTGCTGTTTGGTCCTGAGATAGAGGTCGCTTAGAGGCAGGAGAGTGGGCAGAGGGGTCATGCAGGCTCATGCCTGGGCTGGCATCTGACCTAGGACCTATTCTGACTTGGGACAAAAAAAGTGACCTGAACTAACTCAATTCCTTCCTCAAGAATTTGGAACTGGGAAAGTGAGAGCCTGAGCTACAAGCAAGCAGTGAGAATGGAATCGGAGAGGCTGGGATGCAGGGGGTGAGGAAGGGCTGTGGGGAAGGGCAGCCATGGGGCAGGGGCTGGAGAGATGGAGGTGCAGGAGCCTGGAGTAGGGAGAGAAAGGTGGTCAACAAGTGAGGAGTGGAAAGCCCAGGCCTCAGAAACGTGACCGCAAACCCCTTTCAATCTCAAGAAAACGCTCGATGCTGGATGCCACGGGAAGCTGCTGGAAGGACTCTGATTCTGGAATCAGAAGCGGAAGTTTGAGCCCAGCATCACCATTTTACACCTGTCTGACCACAGGTGGGTACTGAACCGCCTCTTGCCCAAGCTTCTTCATCTTTAAATGGGACCAGGAGCCCTCTTGACAGTGGATTGCTGGGGAGCCCTCACTCGGGCAGCCCGACAGAGCTCCTGGCTGGAAGTCGGCTTCCCATGCATGTGAGTCTCTTCTCCACTGGCTGAGAGGAAGGGGCAGGCACTTAGACTGGCTCCCCACCGCCTCTGGGGACTTTCCTGCTTTTTCTCCTCTACTCGACCGGTGCCCTGGAAGGTCACATGTGTCTCAAAACACACATCTGTGTTTTGTTTGGTCTATACAAGGTGGACCAACACAGTGTTAGTAAAGTTTGAATTAGGACAATGTATATAAAAAATTGGATTTCTGTATTCTCTTTAAAAATTGGGTCATCTGGATACACTGAAACTGTATTCCTGCCAGGCAACAGCTGCGGGTGTGGAGCGAGTGGGTTCTCCAGATAGACCCAGGCCCCACTCCTTCCCGCTTGGCCTCCCTGGCTCTGAGGCTGAGAGTTGGTGGCTGCAATTTCCTTGGGCTGGGCCAGTCTTGCAGGGCCCCTGTGGGTATTTGGGCTCATGACCATGGCTTCCTACCATACATGGTCTTACTCTTCGCCTGTCAGTGTTCTATGGCTGTGTAACAGATTACCACACATTAAGCGGCTTGAAACAACACCCATTCATTAACTCGCAGCTTCTGGAAGCCAGAATTCCAGGTAGTCTGGGCTGTAGTCTCAGCTCCCATGGCTGACCTCAAGGTGTTGGCCACTCTGGGCTCTTCTCTGGGGGCTTGAGGGGAGAATCTTCTCCAAGCTCATTCAGGTTGTAGCAGAATTCACCTTCCTGTGGTGATAGGACTGTTTGCTATCAGCCCAGAATGCTCTCAGCAACTTGAGACTGGCCACATGGCTCCTCCATCCGCAAAGCCAGCAACGGTGTGTTGAGCCTTTCTCAGGCTTTGAATCTCTTTGAATTCTTCTGTCTTCATCTTCTGCCTCTTCATGAAAGGACTCATGTGATTATACTGGCCCACTCAGATAATTC